AATATTCCAGAGAACCAACAAACATTTGTTTTGTTTTGTCAACAGTCAAACTGAAAGAGAGTTTCTATTCAGTGTTCTTATAATTTTGTGACATGTAAAACAGTAATTTAATTCTGTCATCGGAACTAAACTGAGAAGAACAGTAGATTGAACCAAAATGATTACTGATACAGCAGTATTTAAGTATAATAGGCTTTGCATTATATTTTTCACACTATATAGCTTTAATTTCATATGTAGACAATACCTGTCTTTATTGTATTACTGTGTCTTATTTTTTATACGTTTCCCCTACAGAATAAGAGATGTGTTTGGACCACACAGAGCTCTGGGACGTGTGGACAGACATTCGCTGTAATGAAGGACATCTGCTCATGGACAGGTGAGACTTATTACTTGTGTTTTATTGTGTACTTGGCATGTAGGTTACCATCATTTTCTTTTTGGAGGCTCACCCCTCTAGAAAGCAAATGATGGTAACCTAAACGGGTGGGGAAGGGACGGAGGTTCAAAATTTGTATACACTAATTTTTTTTTTTTTTATATCAAGAAGCATAACTGCTGCTGGACATCGCTCTGGGACTCAGGGGGGGACCCAAATCATCCTCACCCCTTCATTCACACAACACTCACTCATATCGCAGAGATCTGGCTGGGATCAAACCAGCAACCTCTGAACCTTGAGGCAGCGCTCTTACCAGTGAGCCACAGATCTCTTATCTGGATATGTGAAATAACTTATAATTCACTGTTCATCTGTATGGGACATGGAATTTAACAATAAACCAGATAATGATAGCATCATCCCAACGTGTTGAGGTGGGGCTTGAACCCACATCTCCAGCTCAACCTCATCCACAACAAATGTGTGTTCAGCCACTTGCGCCATCATGGCTTTCACACTGAACACTGGTGTTTGGGGCACTTTTTTTGCACATGACAACACGACATAACAAACATAAGCAATAGTGGGATTCGAACTCAGGTCACTATGTAAAAGCCCAATGCTTTATCTCCTGAGCAGCTGAGTCTGTTTTCTTGAGGAGTGTTGTGGATCGAGTTTTATTAAGAGCTTTGTTTTATTTGACACAAAACTTAAGCAACTGTGGGATTTGAACCCAGGCTTTTATATTTGAAGGCAACTGCTTATCCTCTGTTCCACAGAGTTTGCAATGAAGCAAGGTTTCTTTTAGATAGGTTAAGATAGGTAAATAATTACTGCAATTTTGTGATTTGAACAGGTCTCTGCTATAGATTTGTTCTTTTAAGACCTGCATTTAAAAAACGGCATCATGGCTGGCATGTAAAACTGCATGATTTGTTGTTGTAATATTTGTTACATGGAAATATTAAGAAATGTGGCATTTGATCACAGACTTAAAAGCAAAAAATCTGAAAAGCAAAAATGTAGTCTCTGAACTAGAGCTTTTGATAATCGGGAATTGCTATGTTTATTTTCAATAATATGAGCTTAGACTTTTGTTTTTCAAGCTTTGCCAGTTTTACTAACATAAATCATTTAATTTCTAGCAGAATAACGATGTACGGGACTTTTTGGACATTTATTGACATTGGACTCAAACCTGTATCGTCATGAGCCAACAGCTCTTATAAATGTATTAAAGATACACACACAGCTCACTCTAAAAAAAAAAAAAAGGACTAATGCATGTGCTCATGATTTTTACATTCTAAATTTGCGTCCTTTCAGCTAAAAAAAGTAATTTATTCACAGCTGGAGGATCCCATGGGATTTATCAATGCTCATCTCAACTTGATCAACTCATTCTAAGCTTGAGCCTCATAGCAGGACTAGAAAGTTGTGTTTATGAGATTTTACAGGGGAAGACGCTGATATCAATTGAGTCATGAGTGGTATATATTGTATTAAATGAGATATTATGGCACAAGTGATAAGTATTATTCTAATCAGTTTATAAAATCATAGTCATACCAAAATAAAAGTCTCCAATTAACATTAATGACACAACTTTGAGATTTTTTATTTTAAATTTTTATTTTGTACAACAGAGAAAATGTTTATGAAAATCAATCAACCCCCCTCTCTGAAAACATAATTTAGATAGTGGTTTATTTGTATGCAAAATATCACAATGCAAATAATAATAAAAAAAGAACACTTATTTTAAATATGTATTACAGTAACTTCAATTTCTTATAAACATTTTGTTTAATCCATCTTGCTTATTTGATTGTGTCGTTCATAGGCTCTACAGGTATGTGGCAGGTTAAATTGGCAGATCAGGTGACCTGCCTCTTTTGCAAGTGGGTGTCATTTTATAACATGAAACTCTATTGCTGCTAACCATAAAACTAGTATCCACCCATCTAATTCTTTTCCAGTCCTAATATGAATGTGCCACAGATCTATTCAACATATTCAACAAAGATGTGCTTCTGGGTTACAAAATGCAGTTTGTTTTTAGTAAATGTCAAGATCAGTGCAAGTATCTGGTGAGTACGGCACAGCTGAGACCGTAGAAACACTTTCTAGGGCACTGGAATGTGTGCTGCACTAAACGTGTAAGAAAAGCTTTCAGATGGAACAATACACGTCTTCAAGGGTTATAAAATCACCCTCTGGAAAAGTTCCCTCAGTCTTTTTGTGTTTGTACACCATTTTTCAATCCTGCTGCCAGGTTACTGCCCCCTTTAAAAGCATCTGGATGATATAAGATTCACATGCAGTGCAGAAACGTGTTGTCTACATAAATGGCAGATATCTGAGAGAGTTGTCTGATATTGAGAGATTACGTTGCTGTACAAATCTGGGCATATAATAGATTTCTCCAGAGTGGAAGGAGGTCAAGGGGCAGGTGTACATTGTCCACAGGCTGGGGGTAAAACGACGGGTCAGTGCATCGGCCAACCTTAAGCGCAGGTTGCAGCTCGAGCACACTATGTGGTTTGGGCAGCAGGACTGCGAGGCAGTCTTCTTGGGTTGATTTGAGGAGGAATGATTTTTGGAGGTTGGAGGCAGGGCCAAAGCAGGTCTTTTGATGGCACTTCGTTCTCCGAGGCGGTCCAGGGATCTTCTCAACTGTTGCTGTGCACCTTGTACCCCAGCCAGCTCCCGCTGATACTGCACATCCAGCGCATGTAGGGTCCTTTCAAGTTGCAGGCTCTGACGCCTCTGAGCGTTAGCCAGGGAACGCTCTTGAGATTGACATGAAATATCAACAAAAGGGTTTGAATAAACTAGCCCTTATTGGACTTAATGGAAATAGAAAAGAATACAGTAATTGATTAATTAGTATATACATTTTTATTGATACCTCGTTCATTGTGTCTTTTCCTTCTTGACAGAGAGATGAAATTGGACATGCCACGCTCGTATGGAAGAGATGAAGATATGCAGGATCCAGTGACAAATCCTGAAAAGTTGAGAACTCGCATCATATTTTTACCTGTTATATAAAGTGAACAGTGTAGCACTAAATGCACAGCTTTCAGGGGGGGAAATATGTATATACTACATTTATATATTTTTAGGTTTACATATACAAATCACAAATATATCAGACACTAATATGGAAATTTTGGAAAATTGTTAACAAGAAAATAATACATTAATGCATTTACTCACCCATGGATGTTGCAACAAGCATTTACTGTCTAGAAACAACCAAATATAATATCCCACCAAGACGATTTTTGTGAATACACAAACTTTTCCTCTCTTTTTCAATCTAAAGATAGGAAAAAAGGCTTCTGAAAGTCTGTTAGGTAACCTAACTTTTATAAAGCGACAGTATCTCTTCTGTTCTGAAGGATCGAAACAAAAGACTTGGAGGGGCCAAGTAAAAAAAGAGTGGGCAGAGCTAGTGAGAGAAAGGCAACTCCTCTTCAACTTTACAAAATAATACAGAAAATAAAAGTTAAAAAAAATCTACTTTGCAAGCCAAAAAAACTAGTATAATCATAAATATAGCTTTAAAATCAGTGGTAAATGTTACAGCCTTTTTAAAGCAAACTGTGCTTCACATTGAATTTCAAATAAAATGTAAATAAAAGCACAAAAAACATTAGCCAGTTTTCATGCACTTCTTTAATATATCCGTTTTTCATATTCACAACAAATACATTAAGCTCTTTTCCTTTTATATAATACAGTCTTAAATATTTTTACACAGAAATATTTTCTCAGAATTTCATCTATCAAAATGTATTTTCTTAAACTTTATTTCTTAAGTTGAAACACTTGAAGTCATTTAATAATTTTTTATCTCCATGCCTCCTAGCAAACAGACAGTACTTCCTTTGTACAGCTATTTACAGATGAAAAGAGTCTCCCAAACATTTGTATGATAGTTCCTCACTTGAATGAACTTGCACTGGGGGGGTTGGGGGCGTTAAAGTGCAGGCGAGGCAACAGAAAGGAATGTGATACGGACGTTTTTGGTGAAGGCTTAAAAAGCAAATAAAATGGGGGTTTGGGGAGTGAAAGAAAAATGGTTATAGAGAATCTGTATATATATGTGTTTATCTCCGAGTTGTAATTAAACAGGTCCCCAAGTATTCCAGTCAAGAAGGATCGATCCTTCACAAGTCAGACCTCTTCAGTAACATTCCCATAGAAAATAAATACAGCATTCTTAAAATACACCTATACCATCTCCATACGCAACCCACGTTAGGTTTGCCAGCTTAATCTGGTAACAAGTTCATTCAAACGTCTTGTCTTTTTAAATTATACATGTGAAAACAGTGACCACCGTCACGACTCAAAGGATCCGTGGAGCTCCTCTCTCCTTAATGGCAAGTTTAAGTGGCGGAACCAATTCACAGAGCATCGTCCTTATAAAAATAATCGAAAAAAAGAACCAAAATAAATAATCCAATCCATCTCAACAGAAGCAAGAAGATGGGATGCGTGTCTTCGCTTTTGTAACAGAGCACGAGTGGCGAACCAAGCGCAGAGCCTCGGTTATCTGTGCAACATCAAGCATTTTGTGGAGTCGAAAGCAAAAATGCGTCATTTCCTACGAGAAAAAAAGAAGGAGGAGCCACTTATTTCACTACGAAGAGGCCGAAAGTGGAGTCGAAAGCAAAAATGCGTCATTTCCTACGAGAAAAAAAAGAAGGCGGAGCCACTTATTTCACTACGAAGAGGCCGAAATAACAAAAAGCATCCCTACGAGGGCACTTCCACTGTCCACAGTGTCTAGGTGAACTTCAGGGCTACACAGTGCTAGTGTCACTACAGCCCAAAGCTATGCTAGAGGGTTGACGCAGAAGTCTTTGGACCAACTTGAAAGAAGAGTCGCCGCTTTGTCGCCTGTTCGAGTCATAGGGCGAATCGATTTGGTCGAAGATCCAGATAACCGTTCTCCGGCAATGGCGTAGGTGGACACAGATGGCGTTAGGAGGTTGGATTAAGCTTTGGTTTTTAAGTGTCCCATGGCCCTGCCTGCTTTTGAAATCGATTTTCATTCATTTTGCAATCCGGTAACCATGCTTTAACCTCTTCATATGACAAAATATATTAAGTCTTTAAAAAGGCAAAATTGCTTATCTGCATCAGTCATTTATACAAAGTGCACAGACACACTGCGTAATGTCCATTTCAGCAAATCACAGAATGAGTGAGAGAAAATATATATATATATATATACACACACACACCTCTCAAGAGTTCGAAACGACACGGAACAAAAAGTAATAAAATTAAAGCAGTATAAATTAATGTAACTTTGCAGGCCTGCCTGTATATAACACAAGAAAAACTATATGAAACTTAAACTTAAAAAAAGCTATGACCCGTGAACAAATATATCGGAATGAATCCAGCGGTGCAAGGTCCAAAGAGTTCGAAAAGAGACTCGGATGAATCGAATCTCAAAAA